GTGAGGATCCAGGACTCGACTGCTATAAATTCAAGCTCTGTTCTTAGACTACACCATGCACAGCTTTTGTAATGCAAATGGAAGGCACAAAGTGTTCCTTTGATAATGTGCAGTCAGGAGACAAAAAAAGCATTCACTGCAACAGTAAAACTAATTCATAAAGCTGAGAGACAATAGAAAAGCATTATGGATATTAAAAAAAAAATAGTAATTTCTCATAGATCAACTTGATCATTAATGTAAACAGTTCAAATGCAAAACAGAAGGAGGTTGGGGAAGGGGAGAGGCCCAGATGGCTGTGCTGCCACCTTAGCTAACCCTGCACAAGTTTGAGTAAAGCAAGAATTTAGAGTTCAGCACAAAGTCAATGTACAGTTTGTCACTGGAGGGCTGATCCTTGGGCTTCATTCTGGATACCGAGTTAGGCTGGGTTTCCCTTCAGAAACGAGAAAATCACAGCGTTGGGATTGGTTTTTTTATTTTTTTTTTTATTTTGATATTTGAGAGCACTTCATAAACACTCCTGGGGCGCAAATTTTAAGAGGGCAATTTCTCTTCATCACCTCCCAGAGTTTAGCTCAAGGTCACCTCACCTGAGCTCCGGAGGAGGCAGAGGGCTGGAGGAAGGGGATGAAAAGGCTTCCAAAATGCTTCTCCTGGCACGGGCAGCCCAGGCAGGGCACTGCCACGAGAAGGACAGTGCTGGATGCTTGCCACAGGCTGCTCCTAGCAGGGCGTGCAGCCTTTCCCTGCGGATTGCTGCTGCTCTAGGCGGGCTGGTTCGGTGCCGTGAGGATTCAGCAATCCGAGGGGTGAGGAGGGCAGGATTATTTTCCAATTTTTCTGGCACCATTAGGATGCACTGCTGTCGCAGAGGAGGAGGGGAGGCAGTGCTGTTGATGCCGGGTTACAGATAAGATAAAGTCTGTCGCTGTCCTGGCATCCAGCATTTGCCGCCCGGGGTGGGAAATCTGAGGAAAGGAGTGCATTTGGACAAGGTGTAGCATTAAGAGACAGCCTTGGATGCTTTCCATCTCTACCTAATGGAGACTTTACTCACCATCTGTAGTCAAAGGTTGTAGTAAAAATAAAAAAAAAAAATCTCATTGTTTCTTTTGCTAAAAATGCTCTCAAGCTGCATTAAAAAATGAGGTTTTACTAAGGCTACTGATCGCTAAATACCATTCATAAAACAGTGATGAGAAAATATGATGGAAAGTTAAATTTTTCCCTCTGTCACTTTGATTTCTTTGTTACTGCTAAAATGACTGCTCTGACTCATATTTTGCATAGTTATTTTTACCTTTTCAAATGTTCCTTAACTGTTCATATTACCCTGGGCAAATCCCCCAGGGATAATTTTCATTTGCATGCAGACTTTGATGGTGTTATTAAGCAATCACTTTCTGTACTAAGTCATTATTAAAAGTAATACCACAGAGCCTCAAAAACACATTAATGGTGCCAAACAATCCACATTTCAGTGCTAGATTTATGGAGAGGGAAAAGCACAAGGTCTCATATCATTCAGTGGATGCTGCTCTATTGCTCTGTAGCAGCAGCAGGCTTGATCAGAAAATATCAGAGCCAAATTCAGAGCCCTTATCTGTTGTCAGCCTTATTTCTTTAAATGCCCTTTTTGGGTTTATTTGTTGGTTTTTTTTGGTTTTTTGTTTTTTTTTTTTAACCTGCCAGCTTCCTACTTTTTTTTCCCCTTTTCCTTTGGCCTTGGTAAGAAAGGCTGTCTGCAGTCTTCCAGCATACACAAGCTGGGCTGGTTCTGGGAAGGAGGGTCAGCCTTCCCCTCTGTAATCACTGTTTTATGGCTTTCACTGGAGGTGTTAATGCAGATCAAATGGAAAACAGTCCAGCAGGAGTGTTACAGCTTCTCATGCTGCCCTGCATACGGTCCCAATCGTTAATTCTGATTATAAGACCTAAAGGTAATTCTGTTTGCTCTCCTAATGCATTGCAGCTCTCCCGGTGGTCCGGTGTCTCTTTTCTTCAATTCCCATCTTGATCAATTGTTTGCAAATAATTAAGCTTTTAAGAGATAATGGTAGGAGCTAATGTACACAACAAAGTAAAGGTCTCAAGTCACTGTTTATTGAACAGTTTGCCTTGATATCCCAAAGTGATCCAGAGTGATAGGTGGACTTGTCAGCTGGAGTCACTGCAGTGTTTTTAGTCATTCTTCCCTATATATTTATATATTTAGTAAAATTATGGAGTATCTCAAGTTGGAAGGGACCCATAAGGACCAAATCCAGCTCTCTCCTCTTCACTACCTCAAGCTTAACCATTTGACTAAGATAGGTTTTATACATAATCATTCAAATATAATATAATCTATACACACACAATATATATATCCATATGTATGTGCATTTGTCTATATTGCTTCAGACAGCCATTAGAAAGTTTTCAGAGGGCACTGGTCATTCTTGTGTAGTTGGAGTCAAGGCCAACAGCAACAGTTTTGATTGAATTTCCTATTTCTTCATAAAATGGCAGTTCTCAGGGTTTCCCTCTTTCTCTCTGTTGCAATGTGATGTCTGCCTTTGCCTGTGGCACAGGCCTCCCAAGCCCTGTGGGTGGGAATGCAACAAGGCTTTGAATGTTTTTATAGCAACCTAGCCTGTGGCACGCTGATTCTTTGTCAAGTCATTTCTATTATTTTTTTATTGTCAGCCTACAAAGGAACAGTTCGTATGATCCACAGAAAGCTTATATAATAATGTTGCTTAGTGTTTAAGATTACTTTAAACCACACCAAATCACAGTTAAAAAGCCTGCTGCATTGTGACCCTTTAGCTAAGAGGGATTAGCTGTGTAAAATCCCAGGCTGTCATGTGATTATGGCAATTACAGATTTATCATGAAATTAAAAGTTTATGCTGTACTAGGATATGAAAAAAAAAATAATCAGATGACCTTAGACATACCACAATTTGAAGACTTTGTAGTTTGGGACTTTTAAAGCAATTATTTTTACAGTGACAATATTATTTTGATGGCTAATTTTATCCAGTCTTGTCTATTTAAAAAAAAAATGTCCAGAACAATTGAAAATTGCTTAATGGAGACAGACTTCTCAATTCCAATAGCTAGAGGCTGTCTAGTAATTATTGCTTGCTGCATGAAATTAGACACAGTTTGTTCAATTACTTAAAATTAGATCACATGTAAGGTGGCAAAGCAAAATAAGAAAAAAAAAAAGGAATAATTCTGTCCTCACTTGATATCAAAGTAATGAAATGAGAAGTAAGCTGTAAAGATGAAAATGTTACAAATGATCTTTGTAGGGTTTGGGGTTTTTTCTTTGAAGGGAAGAAAAATGTGCTCAGATAGATGGGCATAAGTATGACTGTTGTGGATGAACGAGTGTAGAAGGCAGACAGTAAAATACATGCTGTATTTTTGCATGTGTGAAATGCTATTTGCCCATAAAAAGAAGACAAATCCCCTTCCCTCTGTTTTCACTTTACAATTCTGGAGCTGTTTCATGTGCACACAGAAAATACACAGGATGGTTTACAGGTGTGTAGGTCATCTCTGAACTTCCTGTCAAGAGAAGAGTACTTTTAAAATAATTGAAAATTCCTCAACATTTTTGGGTGAAAAAAAGATAAAAAATCTCTTATGGAGCTGGTGGCCATGGTGGTGGGCTTTAAAATAGATGTATTGAGTTAAGAGAAGTTGCTGGAGTTGCAGCAAAAATCCCTTTTTGGTAATGTGAGGTGATACTTGCATGTAACACAGCCAGAAGAAGTCAGACTATGCTGTCTACAAAAGCATATAAAATCTGCCAAATAGCTATAATACCAGTAAGATTGTGGGGTTTTATGAGGTTTTAAATTCTTAAGCTTTGCAAGGTTTCAGTTTATGTCTCATATGATATTACACCGAAGAATACATATGGAGAATAAAGGAATTTTGGGAAGGGAAAAAAAATGGATGAATGATGTGACAATGGATGAGTACTTTGTGATAATCAGCTGCTAAATAGTGATGGGATAGGACTAAGCAATTATATCAAATGATCTTTATTGAAATGCTATTAAGCACCTTGCAGCAGTCCAGGTCTGAATTAGATATGAACTGAGTCTTGAGCATCCAGGTTAGGAGCTGAACCAGTTCCTCAAAACAGGACTTTTCCTTGAAACTGTTACATTTGCAATGTTTGGCCATTTCCTCTTGTGGCAGTGACATTTTTGCAAGGATGGGAAGGACAGAAATGATATTTCTACGTTGCAGACTTGGTTGTGGTTTTCGCTGTTGATTTATTAAGCAATCTGTATTCATGCAGAAGCAAATTTTCTGAGAAAGCAAATCAAGTTCTCACAAGAAACTTATGATTGAATTATAACATTATCTTCAATTAAAGGAGTATTTATTTTCTGTCTCTTAGGATTAGCTCAGCACAGCTATGCTAATGTCAGGCAAAAATGTGCTGATTGTTGACCTTGCATTGGCCTGTGTTCAAAACACAGGCATTTGTTTATGTTCAGGATGCTGATCTTATTTGCAAATTATTTTGGGGCACTGGCAAGTTTTGCCTTCACTATCTCAGAAAACATCAGTGTGTTTTAGTTTTACAGAGAAGTTCTTTACCACATTCTTTGTTGTTCTGTTAAAAACAGAGAAAAGAGAAAAAAATAGATTATTTGACTCTAATTGGTCATTTGAGACAAGTACAAAAATTTTTCATCTAATGCAACAAATATCCTTCTCAAGTATCAAGGTACTGCCAGTATCCTAAGCAGTTATTTCTCCACTTCACTAATCTTTATAATTGGCTTGTCTTTTACTGCCATTAATTAAGTGATGTAGTAGCCCATTAATAATTATAAAAGAGTGACACACCTCAGCATTTTCACCTTTCAATAATAGATGTCATGCTTCTGTTTTGGTTTGGGTTTTTTTTTTAATTTAAAATAAAAAGTAGGCAAAAAAAGCACATTGTTTTAAATGTTTGTATTTATTTTGGTGTCTTATAGCACCCTTACCCTTCAGAAGAGCAGAAAAAGCAGTTGGCACAAGACACAGGGCTCACTATACTTCAAGTGAACAATTGGTAAGTAATTTTTTAAGTAATTAGTGTTTCTACATGGCCACTGGCACCCTCTGGCTATTCCTTTGGGGACACACCTTGCCCTTGATGTTCACCTCCCCAAAAGTTTATTGATACAAAAGGGATATAACCAGATGAGTTTCAGGTTTCAGGAGTTGAAAGTATGAGGTTTGCTACTGTATTTTATTTTCCCATCATTTGGGCAGATCTTGGTGTATTCACATCTGATACCAGTCCTCTTTCTGGCTGAGGAGATCTGTTCTTCAGTAGGAAGGCACATCCATTTGTAGGACATTGGTCTTGGAAGAGTTCAGATGTTGGGGACAAAACAGGGACAATTGGTCATTTCTGCTGAGCATATTGTTATTTGGGGCTGCTGTCCTGATTTTTATAGTGTGGTTAGAGAGGTTTTGCTTTTTGACTGACACCCTTGAATCTCTTTATCAGTTTGTTTTCAAAATCCAGTTTATGAATAAACTTTGAGGACAGTCTGGTTCTTTGCTGCTGAAGTACTGAATTGCTGGAACAATTTAATTTATTTGCTCCAGCTAAGGGTTGGTGGAGCCCCTGCTCTGTTAGAATAGTGATTAATTTGAAGGAAGTCGAGTTCTATGCTGTTTCTGCAGTGGATTTTGGGTTGCTAACTGCTCAGGGTATGGTGAAGGCAACCAGTGAAAATTACTCATTATTTAAGTATCATACAGCAGCAAACCTCTTTTAAAAAAAGTTTGATTTATTACCCTTTGATACTGCATCAAAATGTGGGTTCCTCCCACTATCCCAGAACGAGTGTCATACTTGAAGTGTACTGCAATCTAATACCTTGTAAAACTAAGTGTATCTAATTAATTGTCCTAATATTTTTAGATTAGTGTTTATGATGGGAAACCTTATCCTCTTTGAAATAATACCCAGAAAATGGTCAAGGCAAACAGCAAGCCTGCTGGGGAAAAGGGAGGGAGGAATGCCAGTTTGCAGACAAAAGTTGGTTGTGTTTTGTTTTTTTTTTTTCCTGTTCAATAAGTGTCAGAGATTAATATTACTGAAGCTCTGATTACATGGCCTAATCCATTTTAGTGAATAAATTTGGTCTTGATGTCCATTGCACCTACATTAACAAACCCTCCTCTCTTAGAGAGCGTAGGAGCCTATGGGAGAGATTTCAGATATATTAAACCCCATTACAGAAAATGTAATTTCTGTCAATATAATCCCATGTATTCTTCAATTTAGTACTTTAGAGATAACAAGCTACTTACAATATATTTGCCTTTGGAGGATTAATTTACAAAGTGCACTATCTGGGAGACGCAGGCGGGCTCACATAAGCATAGCTTGTAAGGGTTATCAATTTCTGTGACCCCACAGCAGCCCTGGGAGATCAATTTTTTGAAGCCCTTTAAGATGCTGAATAAAGGAAAATACCAAATACTTAGTGTATATGAAGTATGCTTCCAACATACTTAATTTAAAATGGAAGAATAAAAGGCATAAACCATAAAATTTACGTGTTATAAGGCAGCGTAACCCACAGTATTTTGGCTCAGCCAGAAAAAAATTCGTGTTTACTCCAACTTTCCATTCTCCAGCCTTCATCCAGGTGTTACCCTAATTTATATGGCTGTCCTGCAGTTTAGCAATGGGTGCTTTGGCCCACTGGGAAGCTGTGGGTGCTCATCAGGGTCTTGTTTATCTATGGGGTGGAGTGCAGGATTCAACACAGACAAATGTGTCACTTTAGGATGGTCTGTCTAAAGAAATTTTTCAAGATGATGAACATAGGATGGCTTCAGCTAGAAGTGGTGGAATTTCTCCAGAGTGACCTTCAGTAAGGTTTTCTTTCAGTTTTCTTTTCAGGGTGTTTTTCAGTACACGTGTCTCCTCGAATATGAGGAGTTTTTACTTTGGGTTTGTGTCAGGTGTGTTCTTATAAATTCCTTATCTGCAAAGAAAAGGAAAAAAAAAAGAAAGAGGTCAAAATACTGAAGTCTTGTGGATGTAGGGCAGACTTAGTCTATGTGAGCCAGTTCAGTATAAATTATTGTACAAATAATTTGTGGTGTTACAATTGTATAAATTGTATAAATTATTGGGACGATTCCCCTTCTCTCCCCTGAGGCACAACGATTTAATGCTCTGGAGGCAGTGGGGCTTTCTTAAATCACAGGTGGTGGGCAGAGATGCCAAAATATGGCAATGCAGCCCCTGCTTTTTGTAATGGATGCTAGGGAACAAGGAGGCTGTGAAGCTGGTGCTGAGTGAGCAGGATGCACAGGGAATACCCAGCCATGAGGTGACCAGTGAGTTACTCACCCTCTCCCAAATCCTGGGGGCTGTGGAGCAACCTTCTCAAACATTTTCCTGGATCCCTTTTCTTCCAAAGCCATGTGCACAAGAAACTCTTCCTACCTAAATGTTTTGCTGCAGGGAAGAGCTAACATATAATTTCTGGTTAGTTTTGCCTCTCTTAAGCAAGCTCATAAGTCATTCAGCCAGAACTCACACAAAAAAAAATTTGCCTTCCTCCTTAGATTCTTCCAAACTTGTTAACACACATGTACATTTTTGTATTAATGATGAGTCATTGTAAATCACTGTTGCAGAGATTAAATAAAATGCTGAAGGGCAGGCTGGGTGCAGATCAGTCATAAATTATTGGCAGCAACACAGCATGTGGGAATACATGAAATGTGCATGAAAAACATAAACTCATGTCTGGTAGCATGGTCGTTAGCCCAGACTGGGAATGCTGGATTTTCTGGCTGGAATTAGAAGTTTGCCACAGACCAGTCAGTGAAGAGAGCATTTGTTTTCTGCAGACTGAAAGCATTTAAACAATTTTTGTCATATTTTGAATGCCTTTTCAGTATGTGCTGGTTGCATACTTCAGTTTTCTGCCATAACGAAAAAAAATGTTGATTTTCACATATGGACTGACCGGTGCTGGGGCTCCCTGGACTGATGCACATAACCCCTCTTGATGTCTGAGGAATCACAGGAATGGGGTGATGGTGTGAGATGTACCAGAGAACATATCTGTGAAAGGGTACATGTCTTTAAAAATACCAATGTCCTTTTCACCATGACCCTTTTCATTGGGTTGTTTTAAATTTTTTTTAAGTGATGAAATAATCCACACAGGGTTTTTCCCTTTTTTTTCCCCTCCACATGACAACTTCACTTGTGAATCACCAGCATTGCCTTCTAGGACCATCTTTTTGTCTCAGTCAGATGCTTCTGTTGTGGGATGAGGGAACCCTTACCCTGCTGCAAAATACAAATAAATCTGGGGAAGGTAGGAAGATAGCAGAGCTCAAATGTCATTAGGCTAAATGAACCATTCAGGTTTCTGTTGTATCAGTTGTTTAACCCCACAGCAGTTTAGGGTTCCAAGCACATCAATATGAGCAAGAAGGGGCACTTGTATGATGCCTATATCGACACGGTGGAGACCTGAACAGGTACAGGTTAATAAGGTGCTGTTCCCAGGTGATAAAAACAATGAATTGAAATATCCAGGTGTGATCCAAGCACTTCTTACCTCAGCTGAGAGGCAGTCAGGCTATATTGAACAATCTATACGGTTTTCTTGTTTACTACATCCCAGCTGAATCCCTTCCCATTAAGAGCTAATGGTAAATAATTACTGGTGGTAGTCTATGAAGAAGAGAGAGCAATTCTAATCAAGGGCTGCATTAGGTGTCAGATGCTTGTTTATGTTTTAGAAAAGTCTTGGTGCACACAGATAAGATGTTTGTATATTTGTAGAATAATGTGCCTATATAACCTCCCTATATGTGCATGTTTTTATGTGATTGTCTCTCTAAATAGTATTGCATCCAACTGCATTAAAATGATCCAAAAAAAAAAAAAAATTGAGAATTCAAATCCTTAATGCTCCAGCCTTTATTAGGTATTTCCATTCTGTTTTTTCCAAGTACTCTTGTGTTATCTAGGGCACAGCCCAGACAATGCTGGAGCAGCTAGTCAATATTTTATCTTGCCCTCATTCTTCTGTGCTTCGTTTGTTGAGCTGTATTCAAACCCTGCTTGAAGATGGAATTAATAATTACTGCTGGGCTTTCCTGTGGCACTCACTTACTGCTGTAATACCCAAATCCTTCCCTGACCTCCACGTGCCTATATATGCATACAAGGTTGTGGCTCTGCATGGTATTTTTTACAGCTACCCTGCAAAGAGAAAGGAAAATGTTGTCCTGGTTCACAGGGGAAGACGTGAGGCTCATAGAGCTCCAGGTCCAGCCCAGTCACAAGTTTTGGGTTGGTCTGGGACTGTGAGGTGACTTGGAATTACAGCAATTGGTTCTCATTTAGGCTCCAACAATCATTGAAACTTCACGTTTCATGGAAACTCCAAGTTTTGAGTGCCTTGGTGCCTTACATTGCCAGTGTCCATGGTTGGGTATGGAGAAGTGAGGAATCAGTAACTTGTGGTGAAAGTTTTGTGTTCAATGATTTACTCAGTAGCCCTCAATCAGTCCAAGGAGGCAGCAGAGCTGAACACTCTTCTCCAGTGCAGCTTTTGGCTGTATGAATCAGGACTGGCTTGCTTTTCTTCCTGCCTGAGTCATTCAACTTTGTCAAAGTTTATTACCTGTAGAGATACTTTTTTTTTTTTTTTTAATTTTGTAATGCCCTGGCCTCTTCTTGTAACAGACATAATTGTCATTGGGATGATTGAGGCATTGAGCTCTATCAAAAATTGTGGCACGAGCTGGTAACTGAACTGTAATGAAGTACATTAAAGCCTAGTATGCAAACAAACCTAGCAATGTAGTATCCCAACCCTTGAGTTCTTGGTTTTGTATTCTTGCCTCCTTTAAATGTCATTTTTGTATATAATTTCCTAGGCTTGCAAAAAACCTCAGAACAAACCCCAACCAAACATTTCAGAAAAAAATTATCAATGTTATCAAAAAATGTCCCTAATCTTATTCTTGGAGTCAGATGAAGTGGATTTTACTGAAACCTTGTAAGAAAGA